TGAGCAGCTCGCTGGGATGATACGTCAGTGTGGGCGACCCACCCCCCACACATGGGCTTGGAGTCAACGTGGATGGTGAAACACAACTGCTCTAGAATGTCCTCTGATATATTTTATAATATATCTTAATCTCATATTGGAAATAGTAGGATATTTTAGACTCTTCCCCTGTTTGCATTTATCGTACTCTGTTCTTCTCTTTCTTTTATAAGTTTTGTACCTGATTTTGCTTTTTTTTTTTTTTTTTTTTAAGTTCAATACCCCCCTCTCCCCCCACACACACTCCCTATAGAATGTCCTGTACTAACAACACTGCTGGGTCAGCTTCAACCCATCCTGGTGTGGCCCATTTTTAAAAAATTTTGGTCAGATTATGGGACAATTTAAGTGTGTTATCTCTTACAGATCTTTAAGTACCGTTTTATCCCCTAACATTTGTGAAGGCCCTTCCCTAAATAGGCCCCAGCCTGCTCCCTTCTGGAATCTGGCCTTGGATGGGCCACATAAAGATGAACATGGCCTTCAAGCCAAACCAAGTTGGGCTCCCCCAAAAGGATCCTGAGAAAGCAAAATGAGCAAGGCTTACAAGAGAACAAACTAATGATTGTCACACCACACTGCTTCAAATTAGGTTGAGAGCACTCCCAGGAACCTCACCAGCTTGGGGCCTTCACTCTGTTTTGGTGGCTGGCCCCAGTGATGGGACAGGCCATGATTTGAGAATGCTGATGCTTCTGCGTCCACACACACGTTCAGTTCTCTTGGGACTAGCCCCACGGCTGATAGGTACCCCAGCTTCAGTGTCTCTCCAAGAAGCATTGTCAATTTGCAATTATTTGCTGTTATAGGACAATGAATAAATAAATGGGGAAGAATTGAATGAACTGTATTTAGTTTCCACTGGTCAGAGCCTACCTTGGCTGCTGGGTCCAGCTGAACAAGATTTCAGGCAATGGGGCAGAGGTGAAAACAGGCATTAAGGATAACCAGGAACCAGAAATGACGTTTTATGAGAGGTTGAGGGAATTGGGTACAGCTGAAAAAAGTCAGCTGAGGAGCAATGGGTACTACTCATTGGCTGGATTCACTGTGACTATGATGAAACCTGGTTTTATCAGGTTTCAGTATGTAGTGTGAACGCACCACTAAGTATCTGAAGACCATGACCTGCTCTCTATCAGCCTAGAACATAGGTCATGGAATAATGGCCTTAACTTACCTGTTTCTGTTTAAGCTGGTCATTGACAAAAATACTGACAGACTTTACATTACAGGAAGGCAGAACCCAGCTGGAATTTAGGAAAAACTTCTCATGGTAAGAACAGTTTGACAGCGGAAGAAAGGACCGAGAGAGGCAGAGCGCTTCCTTTCACTGGGTGTGTTCAGCATCTGTCTCAGATACTTTAATTTGGATTCCTGCAGTGAGCCCTAGAGACCTCCAAGTCATGTAATTTTAATGACGTTCAAATAAAATCTAACCAAATTTCCTTTTGTTCTCATCCTGTTCACTTGGCCTTGTTTGAGGAAAGAAGCACAAATGATCCCCTTGGACTCATCCAAATTTTTGAGGCCATCAGGAGCAAGGTATGGCCACCACAGTGACTTACTTGCTTGCTTCTCTCACTTTTGGCCCTCAGGAGAGAGAGTGCCTTCTGGGCTCGCCTTTCCCTCTCGGGCTGAGCAACACAGACTGAACTTCTGCTGCTGCGTAACTTCATAGTAGTCATTGGGATGGCCAGAGGAATCTCCCCTGATGAGACATCCGTCAGGTCATCTTGCAATTCTGGGCTGGCCTCCTCACTCCACGACTCCTCGTACGCGGTGTCCGGTTCTTCCTCGTCACTCTCCTGCCATGAAATGTATTTAATCGATGGACTGTACTGGTAGACTCCCAGATCAACAAAAGGATTTCCAGCAGGAAGCAACATTTAGAGAAATCAGCATATTATCACAATTCAAGCTTCCATACAATGTGTTAATTAATAATAAATAGCTGTCGAGAAGAAGAATAAATGGGAAACTGATGGATTCCTCAACTAGCTGAGAAAAACCCAGACAGCATCACCAAATGTTCCCTGGTAGAGCACTGTCTTGAACTAATTTCCAGTAAATCAATCAATCATCTTTATTTGGTCAATGACCAGCAAAATTAAATCAGACAGAACACAGCTAGACTCTGAAGAGAGGTTATTCCTTAAATCAGGAGCCAAGGGAGAAAAACAGAGCCTTCGCTTCCAATGATGCTTCTCCAACTTGCCAACTTCAAGACGTATGGACTTCAAGTCTCAGAATTCAACTCCTCTCTCATCACCGACAAGAAGCACCCTCAGGAGTGATCAGAACTGCTGTAGAACAGTGCCTGCATCCCTAATCTGTATACCCAGTCCAAAAGGATAGTGTGTTAATGATATTGAAGGCTACTGAGAATTTCTGAAGGACTATGAGAAATGCACTCCTCCATGTAGATCCCAATCAAGGTATTCCATTAGCATGACCCACACCATTTCTGTCCTTTGCCCAAGCCCATCCCAACTGAAATGGTTCCAGCTGATTCCCTTCCTCTAGGGCAGTGTTTCTCAACCTCAACTACTTTAAGATGTGTGGACTTCAACTCCCAGTATTCCCCAGCCAGCCATGCTGGCTGGGGAATTCTGGGAGTTGAAGTCCACCCATCTCAAAGTTGCCAAGTTTGAAAAACACTGCTCCAGAGAACCTTGTGGCCAATTCCTACTACATTAATCTTTCCAACTTATTCTGTTGCACATGCAGATAATTTTCACAAGAGAAGCCAGGCCTCACCTCTGCCGATCCTGCTTGATTCAGATCTGTTGCCGACGGACACCTTTTCTTTGGTGTTAAAACGGGTTTCCGCATCTTCCTGCAATCAGATGGCGTGTTGTGTCTGCTCTCCAGGTTGTAAGTGCTTTTTTCACTGGGGGGAGGTTTAATGACTTTCCTCCTTTTTCCATAATAGTATGCTGGGGAGGAAAAGCGTGGTTAAAAATCAAAGCATCTAATTCTGGGGAGCTAACGCAGAACAGGTTGGCTGCATGGAATGAAACAACCACATTCTTGTATCCGTCCCCAAAAGGCTGATCAGTGCTAAACAGCTCTTTAATACTGATCACTTCATCTGTGGACAAAACCTTGCAGTCAAATTTACTATTAGAATGGTCTGTGGGATGACCTTGGGAGACAGGAGGAAGAGCCGCAGCCTAGACGACCATCATGCAAAAGGTATCTCAGCTCACAGAAGGGAAGTGTCTCAGAAGGGACCCTCCCTAGTTTTCTGGAAAGTAAAAGTAAAGTAGGGGAGAAGGGCTTTCAGAATTGCAAGACTGATGTCAGCCCTTTGAGATAGTCCAGACAAGAGGCCCAAACTGTGAGTACTAACACTACTTTTATTCTAAGGTTGCAGTAACAGAATCTTGCAAGTCTGAAATCATTTGAAATGCAAAGACTTGCACAGCGAGATGCTATGAGAAATACGACTGTGTTGGCAGATATTATTTGGTGAAGTAATTACACAAAACAAAATGTAAGCTGGGTAATTCATAGTTCATAAATGAAAGCCAGTTTAGTATAGTGCCATGGCACCCTGGGGTGCTGTAGTGAACTCACAGGGTTGCCGTGGGATAACGCAACCATACTTGAGATCGGTCGGATACCATGTGAACTACAAAGCCTAGGAGCACTGTGAAAAAAATTACCGAGACATTAAAAGTGCTGCGAACCGAGAAAGTTTGGGGGCCTCTGGTTGAGTGGTTAAGACCCCAGGCTAGAAACCGGGAGACCATGAATTCTAGTCCTGCCTTAGGCACGAAGCCAGCCGGGTGTCCTTGGGCCAGTCCCTCTCACACAACCCTTGTAAGAAGAAGGCAAGGCCAGACAACTTCTGAAAGTCTCGCTCAGAAAACTTCAGGGACCAGAAGTCACCAGAAGTCAAGATGGACACGCATATACACAAATCATATACACCTGTAGGAGATGTCCTATGAAATATTTACAACCGAGGACCATATTTCATTATATGAAGGATCTATCATGTTTTGTTTTTTTTTTTATCTAGGGTCAACTCTACATTATATGTGTAGGGATTTTTCATTAGCTCTATTGATCTGTTATGAATTGCTTCAGAAAAGAGTAGACATACTGTCTCTCTAAGGCTATCAGCTTGCATTATGTACTTTATGTTACACGTTTATCTGGGGCAGAGTTTTGAGTAAAGGATGTTGCCTGGGTTCTTCTCTTACACTCTCAGACTTTATCTGGTTGATGCTCTCATTTATCATTCGGTTATGATTCTTTCCTCAGCCGGAACCCAAGACTTTCTGATGCCTTCACCAGACCTGCTCTTCAGAGTCAACCATAGGCTTCCATCAGCAAACGCTAACACCAAGATTTATTGATCTGCAGGTTTACAGACCACCCCAATCGTAATACTCTGGGTGGTGCACGAAAAAACAAAACCAACCCAAATGAAAACCAAACAAAGCTTCGCCCCGCTGTTGCCACGCACACTTACCGTATTTCGTTTTGGTGTGACTGGAACAGTTTTCAGGGCAGTGTTCAGTGACCGGAACAGGGCTGAATAAATTGGGGCAACATTCCAACTTCGCGCACACCCTCCGGCAGAAATCGGGGACTTGGTCAGATGTACGGACTATCTTGACCGTTGCCCTGTAAGTTTTCCCTCGGTATCTGTGATGGTGGGTTGCAACATGGCAAACGTTACACCGTAAATCAAGATTGGGGGGGGGGGGGGAAAGGATTGATTGATTTATTTATATTTTAAATTTGTCCCCACCCATCTCACTGCAGAGTGACTCTTATTTCGGTTAGGGTTAGGGTTATCATTTGCTTGGCCACCATGTAAAGCCATACAGAAAGTGGTCAGCCTGCAGGTGAATTCAATTCCACTGGATGATCCCAAACTGAGATATTCTTCATATCCAAATTCAAATCTGTATCTCACTCTGACTACAGACTGGGAATCCTAACCATCTAGACCAGTGTTTCTCAAGCTTGGCAACTTTAAGATGTATGGACTTCAACT